ACTACTACTACTACTACTAGCACCTCCGGTATTTGATAAGCGCCGTCATGACAACAGCATCCGACAAGCGACAAGCAATGCTTCTGCTCAGCACAACAAGCATGATGTGAGATCGTAGTGCTCCTACTGCTAGCACGCGCCCCTTCGTAACCCAGGTCAATCGGATTTATCGCATTCCAGGCAGGAGGGTGTTGACCGAAGAGGGAGAGCTTCCAGTCGCCACATAAATCAAGAAGCTTCGACTGCCACGTCCTGAGCAGGTTAGTGCGTGACTCGGCAGAAGCAGAGAGCCTTGGGAGTGCTGTGCGATGTCGAAGTCCTAGCATTGCGAGGGTTTCTCCTTTTTCGCTTCTTCATCTCAGGCAAAATCAGGCCTTTTCTGGCAGCAAAAATGCTCCGAAGATCCAGAAGGTGCAGGCCGGCTTTCTGCGACTGGAGCCTGCGATTTTTGTTGGAAAAATCGGAGTTTTGCCAGGCCGCCTACAGCACGTACTTCGCGGATGGGGAAGCTCCGACAACTGTCAGTTAGTGTAAATTTAACCTCCTTGGAAGCATCCTTACGTGCTTCCGCAGCAGCCGCAAGTTCACGGGCAAGCTTGGTTGATCGCGCCTCCGTTTGATGGGCTTCACGAGTGCTTTGCCCACCCCGCGGCAGATCACTTTGAAGATATATCTGACGTTTGCATTAGGCTCTCCGGCAGTTGATGCGAGCGGCCGCAAAAGATGCTGGCAGCCTTTCCTGGTTCCGCAGTTGGAAGTTGGAACCACAGGAAACGATGTTCAAGCCAGGCTTTTTGGAACCATGAGTTAACGCAGCTGTGAGTATGCTAGTGTGCCCATGTTGCTTGCAGGCATACTGGAAGATCTGGAAGACCACCGTATCGTACGAAGTACAAAGACAGTGATATGGATGTGCCATTCTTGCGTTGCTTGTGCAGAGCAGAAGCGCAGCGAGGTCACTATGAAGTAGCAACAACTCGGGAACAGAAACATTTGAGAAAGGGAGGAAATGTATGATCTCGAGCTATGGTCGGAATTGAAACAAAAGGGCTATGCTCTAAACGATCTTGATGTATGTCCTCTGCAGAAACATAGTGATTGAACTCGGACAACGCCGCTGTAACGCTCACGATAGTGACTGCGACGGTCATCATTTGCAGAGCGAACGAGAGTCAGAAGGACAGCAATGCCGCTCGCTTTCATGACAAATGGTGCACTCAAGGTGTTAACTGTTTTAAATGTGTGTTTGCAGAGAACTCCCCCAGTCGCAAAATATCTGGGTTCCACAGAAGTGCATTGCTGCATAACTGCATGCGGTTGTTCTTCGCACCGCAGATTACGCTTCTGCTGTTGAACTGTCGATGTTATGTCATACTGGTTGGTCTCTTTGCTTCTTGTTCTTGTCATGACTACCTGTGCCTCTACGAAGCCTCTTTGTGCGGGAACTTCGGATGGGCGTCCTTCTCTTATCTGTCTAAATCAGGGAGCATCCATGTCAACTCTCGGTTTCGAAACCCTGCACCCAATCCCTATGAGATACTATGAGCGCGAGACAACCGGTGGAAAATCTTTGGCTCTGTAGACCAGTGCGCTGGTAGATGATACACTTGGTCGCCAGTTGCAAAAAGGCTGGCTTTCCAGGCGGGCTGTGTGCGGAAGGAGCATGCATGTCAGTCGTTGCGGTTGCGCTGGCAGGTCGAGACGTTGAATCATGGCTCGTGCATGGCCCAGCAGTACGGCAAGGATTGTTTTATATATCCTTATATTCTATCATGTCTACATTCTGCCTTGTACATGATAGTCACAGTCACTTGGGAATAACTTGCTGTAAGGTCGGCCATGAAGTGCATGCTGATCAGATGTGCGCTCATCCTTCTGCACCTGGCTCCTCGGCTCTTGAGCAATATGCCTTTCGAAGGTTAGAAGTGGGGTTATAACTCCCATAGCTGTAGGGTTCCCTTAAGGGTTCTATAGGGTTTAGGGGTTAAGTGGACAAGCAAGAGTTTGCTAAAGTCTGTCATTCCGGAGCAGTTCGTTTCTGCATACAGGACTCATCACTTCCTTGAACTGTCAGGCGTGCGTGGAAGGATGGGTGCTCGTGTCAAAGGAGGGGAGGATCACGCTGCTTGGAGGACTCGATGTTGGCCAGGCCCACAGCTTTCTCTTGATCGACGGTCGCGTCCGAGCAATGCAGGATGTTCATGTACTTTGTCTGACTCTGCAGACGACTACACATACCTGAATGTGTGTATATACATATACACACGTCTATGTTTATGTCCATTCCCATTTCGATGTCTATGTCCATGCCTCTGTCTGCGCCTTTGTACGTGTATGTGTGTGCATTAAAACATGTATGTGTACTTCTATGGATACATTGACAAGCATATTTTTGATATTATATATATGTATATATATATATATCATATACATACTCGTATACTTCATATACAAAGACAGATGGCATATGAACCTGGCGCCTGAGACCCGACCAAAACGGGCATGGAACCTTCCATCATCTTCAGAAGACAAGGAGCCCAGGCCTCAGTCGGTCTAGGGCCGCTTTGGGCTTAGAGGTTTAGGGTTCAGAGGTTTAGGGTTTAGAGGTTTGGGGTTCAGAGGTTTGGGGTTTAGAGGTTTAGGGTTCAGAGGTTTGGGGTTTAGAGGTTTGGGGTTCAGAGGTTTAGGGTTTAGAGGTTTGGGGTTAAGAGGGTTTAGGGCTTAGGGTTTAGGGTTCAGAGGTTTAGGGTTCACGGCTTTAGGGTTCAGAGGTTTGGGGTTTACGGCTTTAGGGTTCAGAGGGTTTAGGGCTTAGGGTTTAGGGTTCAGAGGTTTAGGGTTCACGGCTTTAGGGTTCAGAGGTTTGGGGTTTACGGCTTTAGGGTTCAGAGGGTTTAGGGCTCAGGGTTTAGGCTGTTTCACAATTCTCAGTTTGCTGAGTCATTCTATGTTGCTGGTGGCAAGCGATCGGCTCTGCTCTGCCGAAGAGCTGCTTAGGTTCGCCAATGGGAGGCAAGATATAGCAACCTGTCTGCAAGTAGAACCTAGCTGCTTGCTCACTCTCCCACTCACTCTGACTCCCTCCTGTCTTTCTCTGTGCGCTTCTCTGCCTTTGAATTGTTGCTTTTCTGCCCCCACGCCTCTCTGTCTTATAGGAGATGGATCTCCGCGCTGGTAGGCACAGTCCCCGATTTCGAATATAGGAGTCATGTAATAATCAGAAGAGGGTCTTGGGGCATTATACCCCAAGACCCTCTCCGGATGATTAAATGACTCCTATAAGTAGCCCTAAGGACGAATCGCAACTCCAGGTGTCCCGTGATGACTGCGACCAGGTGCAAGCCAGGTGAACGGAGTCCCTGGCAAGTTCATCCTGGCCAACAAGGAGAACATCAGAGTTATACTACAATCTACTGAATCTACTAGTATACATATATGTATGTATGTATGTATGTATGTATGTATGTATGTATGTATGTATATATATATATATATTGTTCATTGTTTTATTTTGCTAGAGACAAGTGTAAACACATGTGTATATATATATATATATATATACATGTCTATATATATATATATATGTGTGTGTGTGTGCTGTGACGTATGGCTACACGCACACATGTATATATATATATATATGTGTATATATATATATATATGTATAGTTTTTCTTAGGGTCCCTTATCATAACGATGTGATTATCTACTATACAACGAGAGCAAGATTTCGGGCTTGGGGTTTAGGGTTTAGATTTTTCATTCATACTCGTACCAATATTGCTACCCCTTGCCAATGCTATTCCTGAGAGTAGTCTCAGCACGGTTAAACTACATAATGTATTATAATATACTTTGGTGGTACTGCGTTGCTCGCAATATGCTGTCGTGCGGAGTGTCTGGATTTTTGCTCGTCTTCTTCTTCTGCTGCTTTTTTTCTGTCTCGCGCAAGGGTGATGGTGATGGTGGAGCTTTTTTGATAACAAATGATGTTTATCATGCGGGTTGTCGCTTTTGCGGCTGTGTCTCTGTGTGTGTGTGTGTCTCTCTGTCTCTCTCTCTCTCTCTCTCTCTCTCTCTCTCTCTCTTCTCACCATTCAACCAACCAAAAGCAGAACAAGAACAACTGCTGTTGCCGCTGCTGCTTCTTCTGACGCTGCGATTCCTCCTCCTCCTCCTCTTCCTATTACTGCTGCTCCTGCTCTTGCTGCTGATGCAGCTTCTGCTGCTGCTGCTCCTGCTACTCCTACTGCCTCTGCTGCTGCTCCTGCTGCTACAACTGCGACTGCCACTGCTGCTGCCACTGCTACCGGGTACTTCATTCAGATCGACGTTTTTCCCTTTTGTAGGTGCAGGGTGGCATGCACCCGTATGGAAAGTAGTCTGTGGTACTTCCAGTTGTCGCGAGATGAGTTCATTTCAGCAAGATTTTCTCTCAAGATTGTCACTTGTGCTGTTGTTCGAGGCATGCCATGACGCAATTTCTGTGACTTCGTTTTTTGATTGCTAGTGCTCTTAAAGGCCAGCAGAGCAACAAGAAGACAAGCGCCCAGCTGAATCCCAAAGCCATCCCAAACAGCGGGTGTTGTTGAAATCCAACGCAGAGCCTTCATGTCCCTGTCTTGCAGGACTCGACGAGCGTGCGATACTAAGTTGTGCATCGAGTACTATCTGCGCTGAGTATCGGCTGTGCATGCACACCCGGAATCGCAGTCAGATCAGAAAGGGGCTCCATGAAAGCAACAGCCGGGGCAATTTCGAAAAGACAGGCGATGCTGTCGCTGGCTTGAGTGCGAGGGTTGCAAGAATTCGTTGGTATCATTTGGTATTCTATAGTCTATAGTACTATACAACCCTAAGTCGTATTTCAATACCACAGTCACGACAGCCACGTCTTTGATGATTATCAGCGCGACCACCACAGTCACCGCCATGCAAGAGCAAAGGAACTTACGATAGAACAAACTATAGCCGAACGGTGAACCGGGCAGCCAGATCGATAACCGTCATCATAAACATGGCAACGGCATCGTCTCCTGGAGGCTCTTATGTGCAAGACGAGACATCGGAGCAAGGATCGCAGAGAGGTTATAATATGCGTATTACTATATAATACAGTATGTTATATAACTGCAACAGAATGAAACATGTTATAATATGAGTTGGATGTCCAGATGTCGGTTGGTGCAGAGGTGCAGTTCGACTCCAAACCGCACAGTATTCTGAACTCTTGTCACAGAGAGAGCAGGCGGAACCCGCGTTTCTCCTAGAATTATACCATAATGTGCGATAAGATACTATAACATACGACAATCTATACTACAGTGTTAGACGACCTTTTCAGTCTAGTGCGGCAGAGGGTCCCTCGAGCTCAGGGCTGATGACCTTAAGAATCACTCTGACGCTTCTTCGAAATCTGTTTCGTTATGGGGTTAAGGGTTTAGGGGAGGTCCTGTTACGGTAACCGGTAACCTCCTCAGTAAAAATGCCCGGAGTTTTGAGCTGCTTTTGCTACGAAGAAGCTCACGAGTGACGTGAGGTCTTCACCATCGACGACGATGGGCAGACAGAAGTCCTTGGCAACTTGCTTCCATTTCAATGACTTGGGGCAGACATGCGTTGGGGGGGGGGGGGCAGATTGGGGGCAG